TCAACAAATAAATACTGTTCAATGACTAGACTAGTTGCAAAAACCTTACTTTGTCACAACCCCTGCCAGCACAGTGCTCTTCAGCCTAAATTCAAAACTTACTAAGCTAGTTAGTTCAAGAACGTTCAACGAGGCCAGGAGTGATTTATGGTTAAGGAACCGTGTGTACTTAGTACATTTTTCATTGTTTTTTGTAGGTTGACTTGTTGCTCGGCTCGTCAACTTATCGTATAAGGCTATGTTGAACTTTCATTTTGTCTGCAAGTTCACCGCAACTTCACTCGTGGCTTCACTCGTGGATGTACCCGTGAAAACACTTTTGGTTCACTCATACTTTTACCCCTTGGTGAATTTTGTTCAAAATCAGGTCTAATCACTTTTGAGTCATGTTTACTCTTTTTGAGTAATTGCTAATCATTTTAGATCTTATTTGTGACAATTTTATGCTTAAAACCAGATTCAAAAAGATCAAAGCAATTTCAAAAATGCAAAATAAGACTCGCCAGACTCGCCCAAAAGCCTCGCCGGTAAGACCGCCCACTTTGATTTGGTGATTCTCGGTTGGCCGATTCAACCGGCAGTTTCCCGGTTGGCCGGTTAAACCGGCGGTTGACACGCATGGTTGATCGGTTCAACCGGCAGGTTTCCGGTTGGCCGGTTCAACAGGCAGTCTCCCGGTTGCCCGGTTGAACCGCCGGTTGAGCCGGCCAACCGGGAAACGGCCGGATGAGCCGGCCAACCGGGAAACCGCCGGTTCAACCGGCCAACCGGATCAACCGCCGGTTGAACCGGCCAACCGGGAAACCGCCGGATGAGCCGGCCAACCGGGAAACCGCCGGTTCAACCGGCCAACCGGACCAACCGCCGGTTGAACCGGCCAACCGGGAAACCGCCGGATGAGCCGGCCAACCGGGAAACCGCCGGTTCAACCGGCCAACCGGATCAACCGCCGGTTGAACCGGCCAACCGGGAAACCGCCGGTTGACCCGGCCAACCGAGAAACCGCCGGCTGAACCGGAGGTTTCCCGGTTGCCCGGTTCAACCGGCCAACCGACCAACCGGGCAACCGGGACAACCGGCAACCGGACACATCCGGTTGAACCGACTCGTCTCGGTTAGTCGGCCGGCCGGATACTCGGCATGCGTGACGGGCATGCGATGCGCGAGGGTTTTGCCAGGGGTTCCAGAGGTCCAAAGGCCCTAAGAATTCCACAAGTTGGTGACCTTTCTTGTTGACGACCGGAGGACTGTTGTGGGTGCGTCCTTGTGCTTCTGAACCAAAAAGGGTCGAAGAGATCAGGTGAATAAACCAAACAGGCTGCATTGCCTGCAGCCCCGGCACGGTGGGGACACACCACCTTCAGGTGAAACTCCGGATGCTCAAGGATGCGGAAATCAACAAGCTGATGGCAGATGCAACTCCCAAGGAAGGAGAAGAAGCTGCCGCATCAGCTTCCTAGTGAGCACACTGAACAGAATGTTGGCCTTGAGCCTTTGTCGTTCGTAGAGATGCAGCACAGTCCTGTTGGAGTGAAAAGCGCGCACAGATCCTGTTCAGGAGGCCCCCTCTTCGTTCCCATTAAAGGCCTTTCAATCAGGTATCGAGAACAATTCTACTGTTACTGTATAAACTGTTCAGGGCATCGCCACGGACAGTGCGTATTTATGGTGCTTGGCCTGTCGCTCAAATCACCAAACTAGTGCAAAGATGGTGGACATCCCCAAACAAACAGTTCGCCGGTACAGGGATTGGCCCCACTTACCATGGAGATCTTGGTGAAGGTGGTGTGCTCTTTAGATCCCAGAAAGCTACGGGCACTCTGTCGCACTCACGGCTGAAGCCCCTTGCCCCGCTCAGACCATGCAGGTGACGTTCATTCAGAAGAGGTTGCTCTTACAGAAGCGACGGAGATCCCGAGCTGAACGACAGGTTCGAGTGATGCCGGTGCCGTGGCGTAATGCCTTGGTCCCGGGTCGTAGTGAGACAAAACATGGTTCGGTGCAACAAAGGGCTCCGAAGACATCTGCTCGTAGAGGAAAGATGGGTGTCCATTAGGACATGCCATTGCACTTTCTTGTTTGTTGAATAGGGGCCGGGGTTAGTTCTTCAGAAGTTCCCAAAGATGCGGGAACTCCAGGACCCGGGCTGAAGAGTGAACCCCCGTCGCACTGACGGTGGATATCATGACAACATCAGTCGATTGATTTAGCCTTGCCCACTGGCAGAAGGTCAAGTAGACTTTACGACGTCTGAAATTCGGGGTTCCCTGAAATTCTGAGCGACCTCAAGAGAAACATATTTACTGAACTACTGCGCAGAGTTCCAATCCACCTTTCCTATCCATCCATCTCATGCTGAGGTCATCCTCTCCAGTGGGCATGGTGGCCAGTCTGAAGAGGAGGACATAACAGGCCCCACCATGAGTGCGGTCATCTCCGGCGAACCTCTTCACCCGGAGCCTTGGCCACAGCAAGCAGAGATGAAAAGCACGGCTCTTTCCAATAGTTATATAATTATATATATATACTGTATACATATTGAAAGAGAGATTTTACACAATGTTTATATAATGTTATAGTTATATAAGTAATAGATACACCAGGAGTCACCTGGAGTTGGGTGGTGTTTATAGTCCCATCCAGGGGCCGTGGCGGTCGTGGATGTGACAGGGGCACCCACGGGCACCTCGAGCCTCCATGGATAGCAACCTTTGGGAACTGCTCGTAGACCAGGTGGACAGGTGTGGGCCGACCGGAGCTGTGAGAACCGTGACCTGAGAACTCTTGATGAGTGATGATGAGTGAAGGTTTCATGAAGAGGTGTTTCAATCCAAATGGATCCAAATGGGGGAATGCATTTATATATCACGAATCTACTCTACTGTACATATTGAGCCTTTTGCACAGTTGGATCACAGCTGAGGCGCTTTCGCAATCCGAGGAAGCTGCGGAGGAGAACGTGCGGCCTCTCACACAGGAGCCCCTGAATGTGTTGACATCAGCCAGTCAACAGTCCTCAAGATCAAACATCCTAGCCGTCCTAGCCGGAGCACTTGTTCTTGCTCTAGCTTTTGCAAGATGATTTGTAGAAATCATTCTCACTAGATGGCCTACAGTATTCCCAGGCATGCTGTTCAACCAATGACCCCACGAAATTGAAGAGAGCCCATTTCGTTGCAAGAGCCACGTCACCTTTGCTATCTTTTTGACATGGGAGCCACCGTTTGACTCGCACGAAAAAATGCACCAGACCCCATCGGCGTGTCTCTTCACGCCAGGCCATTCTGAACAGTGTGCTAGTGCGCAGCGTCGAAGAGGTCGAAGCCGTCGAGGACAAACAGGTCGGGACCCGCAGCGACCGGTACGGTCGGTTGTAACCCGGGGTTCGGTCCACCCAACGCGTGCGGTTGGGACCTGTTTTGGGGGAGCTGCGGCAGCCGGGGGCATTCGTTCTCCAGCATCCGGAAGGATCTTCCGGAGGCAGGAGAAGAATGAATGCACCCTGCTGCTGATCATGGCACGGCTAATCTTGGATGCCTGACAATTTGTCCATGCCATTGACATCATCATACATCATCCATGGCAACCGTGTCGATCGATCTTTCGCTTTAGTTACATATTCGAAGGTTGATGTTTAGGACACTAGGCAGAAGCAAGTGAAATTCATCTTCCTGATCTATACATCTCTCAAATATATCTGAAATCATTTCATTTGCAGGTTAACATGTTGACTGCGGTCCTATACTGATTTACGACGTGAGAGTTGGTTTAGTAGCACCTGGCGCCAGTCACCGAGAAACCGAACCGTTCGAACAGCGGTGGGTGTGAACCCTCCGTCCGCGGAGGCGGAAGAGTCCTTCATGGGACCCAGCGACAGCCTGGTGGACTTGGTGGATTCGAACCTCACCGATTCCATCAACCCGGAAGGTGTGGAACAAATGAGCTCGTCCCGTGGCGTGACGTTCATGTTTTTCCCACGAAACGGATGCGTGACAAAGAAACAGAAGGTGCTGTCCAACCCATTCCAACGCCCTATGTAGCTCGAAACCAGAGTCACAATGGATGACTAATTAAAGCGAAGGTGTTGTTGGACATGACTTTACGATGGGTGGACTGCTGACTTGGGTTGCCCTGTGTGAATAAAGGAGAAATCCTGCTGAAGATCGCTGAAGTGTATATAAACTTAGTGGAAAAAAAGAACTGGATGGTTTCCCAGCCGTGCTTGCTCAAGATCGCCGCAAAAAATCAATGCCAATCATACTGATCATAAAGATCCAGCTGCTTCATGCAATGTCTCCGTGTCCAAATCTCAGTGTCACACCAAGGTTCCCTGCAGAGATGTCGATCGGCTCCTTTGAAGGCTCAGTGGATGTGGACATGCTTGCATCAGTGGGTGCCCCGCGCGAGGAGAGGTGGCGAGGTATTGAGTCACCGAGTGAGAAGTGGGCGGGTTGCTTCAGGAGGAGAAAAGAACACATCAGTGGTGGCGAAAGATATGTTACAAGGTCATGGGCGCAGAGCCGCAGAGCGTCTTCATGTGGATGTTGGGCCGTGCAGCTACATTGTACAATGATTTCAACTAAGATAGCATTATGCAGCATGGACAAAGGTATCCATGTTCCTTTGACCTACCTTGTGTGCATACATCAATGTCCTAACCGTGGCTCTGATATGCAAGGTCAGGCAAGGGTTGTGGTGCCTCCAAATGATAGGACTGCCATCCAAATCCTATATAATTCTTAGCTGCCCTACACTTGGTTCTCCTGAGCAGTACCAGTACAGTATATGATAATTTTCTCAACTTCGCGAGCCCGGAGTGCCTCAAGGACTCAAGGAATGATATTTGGGTCCGAACAGACTATTCACGAAAGCTAGCCTTAGCTAGCTGGAGTTGCTCTTGCTTTAGCAAGTTAAGTGACGGGGTGGACGCACCTCAGAAACCTCAAATAATTGATTAAATCAATCTTATGGACCCCCCCCCTCCCCCCCCCCCCCCGCGGTTCGCCTCCCCCCTGCGCGCGGTGAGCGGGACCACCAAGCAGCTGCAGCACACCAAGCATCTGCAGCGCCCAGCGCAGCAGCGGCAGCAGCAGCAGCAGCACCAGCAGCAGCATACCCAACGCCGCGGCAGCAGCAGCCGCAGCAGACAACCCAGCGCCAGCAGCAGCAGCAGCAGCAGCAGCAGACGACCCGGCGCCTGCAGAGCACCCAGCGCAGCAGCGCCCAGCGCAGCAGCGGCAGCAGCAGCACCAGCAGCAGACCACCGGAAGCCCGGCTAGCTTTCGTTCACCCCCTCTGGCCTCAAGTTCGATAGGTTGTTTCTTTTTTGATGTTTTCGACAGACTGTGAAGCCTTTTGCTGCAAGACAAGATTGAGAGGTATTGTCACTTGTAGGATGTTGTAGGGTCGAGCCATCTCAAACCAATTTCTTACCTCTAGTTACCACTGATGAGGAATCAAGCGAAACAAGGGATAATTACAAAACAATGCCACCTTTGGACAGTTCGATTTGAATAAACTATGTTCAGGCGTTCTGCAACCCTTTGCACGTTCTGCCTCTGTTTGCTCATTGATTCAGTTGTCCTTCACTCTTCTCAAAGTGGCAATGAACTTAAAGTATCTTAACATAACATTTTGCAATATTCAATATCATGTCATCATTTGTCGAACTATCAAGTGCACCACTATAGCACTGGAATACATAGGGACTTTCACAACCAGGGGGACTTACACGATTCCCGGGTGGACAGTATTATAGTGTTTCATAGTGTTTCATAGTGTTTCAATTGTTTCGCTGTGCCATTCCAAGAATCATGCGGCTTCTTTGTGGCCCGATGCCATGCACTCAAGTCAATCACATGGTCAATGACCCACAATCAGGAACATCCAGCAACGCCCTGACCAAGGTAACAACAACTCCACAAACCATAACTCATAGTATCTTCGAACGACCCCCCCCCGTCAAAGCAAATCAGGTCCTTCCCTCCACCGGAGAGCCGTCCATCGAGCCGGTGTGCGGCAGGAGACTCCCAGATTTCCAAAGGAACCGGAGGAGCCACCCGAGGCCTTAGAGTCTGAGTTGCGTTCCGGGCCCCTGCGACGCAGCACCTCTGCTGCGCCAGCCTTGGGCTTGCTCATCGGCGTGAAGTCGGAGGGGCTGGGGGGGGGGCTTGGAGTGGGGCATTGACGGCTGGCTGGCTGGGAACACAGCATTGGGATGGAACAGCGTGTTGATGGGTCAAAACGGTGCCATTTGGTAAGATGAACCTTCATACAGACACAAGAGTGCTACAGTTACGAGGGCACAGATCTCGCGCCACAACCACATCACAGAACCATTTGTTTCAGGCACCAAGGCGCAGTCGGCGCAGTGTTCGCCAAATTGTTTAATTGCCCGTTCTGAGGTTCTTAATAAGATGCGTTGTGTCGTAGGTTTCGATCCGTTTCGACCCCCGGAATC